TTACTGTGCAGCTTTCCATGAATCAGATTATGTAAGAAGCGCAGGTTAAGAATAATGCGCCTTTGCCATAGGGGCTGAATTTTAAGGTGTCCGCACCTTTGTCGGTAACTCAGAGCTTGCTGCGATGAAGTCAAAATCTTCGTAAAGCGTGGCTGAGCTTTTTCAAGCAGAACACGATCCGACTTCCGTAGGTTGCTGCATATAAAAGAGCAATATTCCAGATGTGGTCTGACGTGGATCTTACAACGTTCTAGTCTTGCATCTGCCAACTCATCGATTGGGAACATGTAAAAAAACGAACGGTAGTGTCTGTTAATGGCAGGTATAAAATGCTATGGATAACGACACGAAAGGCTTACCCCTAAAAGAGCCACGAACTGTAGGCATACGTGTAGTAATACACACATCTGTTCGGAAAGCTTTTTGCTTTTTTTACTTTTCTAACCGTTCTGGTTTTTTCGGGTTTACAACACCTTTTGTCTTTTTCCGATTTTCAAAACATTTGTATATCCGCACGTTTGCTGACATTCGCTTACCGATGCTTGCATGCACCGCTCAGTCGAGCAACATTATGCGTTGCCAGTCCACACACTGGTGTGACTCATCTGGGTCTCAGAGGTCCGCGCACGTTTCCTTGCACCGATGCTTGCAGTAGCTGCATTGAACCCAATTCACTTCTGTGTCCCCGGAATCCCATTGCTCTGTAGCGCAAATGCGACAAGCATTGCAATCATGCGCTACCTGAACAGACAATTGCCGCTTTTCTGCAAACGGTAGGCCGCTGCAGTTGTAGTTCGCATTTGTCGGAAATTCGTCTTCTGTAACGGCTCACCCACTATTACTATGTTCCCATACTCCACTTTTCTACTGGCGAGACCGCTTTCGTTTGGCTGGCACTCCTAACAACCTACGCTGTGACGTTGCCGGCTCACAACGGAGAGCAGTATCTTCATCCGCTGCCTGTTTATCTACGGAACGTCCACACGCCTCCGCTTATTTCGACAAGGGGAACCAGTGTTCGCGATCCGACCAATGGCCCCGTGGTGGGATCCTTAGTCATTAGTTCAAAATCAGGTCTCTCACAAAGACGTCCGGTGAGATTCTTCAGAGCTCTCTTCTGGTTACGGAAGTTGGAAACGCCCATTGCGTTTAACGCGACAGCTATTTTCTTCCCAACGCCTTCAATAATGACAGGCTTTTCGACAGCCGTGCACTGTGGATCCGTATGTACTTCTTGGTACTTTGGTTCTCCTGAATAAAACTTTTTCGGTGCTTGGGCTGGTGAAAACCAAGGACTTTTCTTGAATAGGTTTTCTTGTGGATAGTCGATAAGCCGGATTACTTCTATGGCATAAGCACACAGCAAATTTCAATGCATAGTGAATAAGCATCTACAAACTGGGCGCCTGCATATTTCACCTGGAAGGAAAGCCCAAGATTGCGCATATTCCAAAACCCCTTGCCATATCCCCTGCATTCAATTGTTTACCGATATGTGCTTCAGCACCAGTTTACGGGGTATGTCCCTAAGTGGCGCAAAACCCCGGTTAATCAAAGCGCATATGATAGGGTTTTGACCTCACTCAAGTACGCTTTCTCTAGGCGTCTTTACTTTGCTTGGTCTACTTCATGATTCCGTGGTACTACCTGCTTAAACAAACGAAGGCACTTGACCTAGGGGATAAACCGTGTTTCAGGTGCCTAGTCTCTACCTACACACCGTTCGTGGTGAAATTAGCAAAATTGCTAACCTTATAAATAAATAAATAAATAAATGTTTCATTCTCGACAATGCGAGGCACAACTTTACAAGCATGATCATTTTGACAAAACAATGCGTGATCAAGAATTTGCAAAAATCCGATATGTTTGCCATAACAGTGCTTGTTTGTGCAGGGGGAATGTAAGTATGTAATTGCGTGTGCGTTTAGGTAGCTGTGTAATTTGCGCTTGTAACTGTGCTGCTCCATTCTTGAATGTTTGCTATCGTCAGCAATGTGGGAGTAGAAGATTGGTGTCCGTGCGCTGGAAAGGATTCTCCAGATATCCAATGGGCAGTGACTTTATTTTGTGGCGAGCCACGACCGCCACGTCACAGTGTTGTTAAGCAGACATTTGTGGCTTTTTATAGAGAGAACGCTTGCCAGGCGAAAACCCACCACGTCCTGGAACACTGCCGCAAATGTGTTTTGCCCAGTTTTCCGGGTATGGGAGATACGTGCCATTAAGATATATGAAGGCCTCCTTACTTCGATCACCGATGGCTGTAAGCTACTTGTTGAACTGTGGTTCGCTTTGTGTATACACCAAATTATTCATCCTTTGCGCAACTTTCCTGCGGTCTATAGCGTTGCAACCTTTTAAATGAGCGCAGCGCTTTCGCATGTCCCTTAGTACATGGAAGCAACAAAACATCACGTGCGCATTTAATATGTATGCTTTGAAAGCTTGCATTTGCGCTACGCAGCGATCTAGCACCATCGCCCTTGCGGTAAGGGTGCTTACTAAATGCTCCGTCGTTCGCTGCACCGCATCATGTTGACTGAACCAACTTTCGTTTAGCAAAATGGCATAGAAAAAAGTAGGAGCGAAGCCGGTTTCTTCAACCAGCACTGCGTGCCATAACACTTAATCAACTTGGTTGTGCTGATGTGTGGCGTCTGGCAAGATAACATTGCTTCACGGTATGAAAAAGAAGTACTGCACAATGCCTTCGTTGTCCACTATGTCGCATACAACTTCCCCTGCAGCCGCCGCCTCACTCGAACGGCTTCGTTCCCACGATCCATTTTATCGTGCAGGTTACGTATAGAACTGACGTCTGCATGTTCCAACCGCACTTGGAAGGCAACAAAGGCAAACTCGCTTGTCTCACGCGTACTGTTAAACCACCGCATAAGCTCGAACACTTGCTCTTCATCCTGCTGTGAGAATCTGCGATTACACACGTATAACCATGGTTTTACCACTTGAAAATCATTGCTATGGGTCATGGAGGAACCCATCCACAAAACGACACGCAACGTGAGGGGCACAATTGCAGTCTCTGTAAATAAATGGGTAGCTTTAGCAGGATAAATGGGAGCGCTTACCGGCGGTATGAACACATAAGTACTTCACGTGCAAATACGCCAACCCTTTCGTTAGCAAAGTACCACGGTTTCGGAGTCATAGACCGACAGGTACAGAGTTGTACACGAAAAATGAAGTGCAGGATTGAGGTTGAAATGCCGAGAAGCCTTCTTTGAACCCTTAAATTGTTTCCTATTCCGTCTTCATTAGCTATTTTAATAACTGATCATCGTCCACCAAACGTTGTGTTGCTAATCTTGACCTGTTGCAGCCGTACTCCCTAGCTGAATCCATCGCAGCCGACCCATTAGCGAACGTGAAGCACAGAGCGTCCATAACACTGGCTGGTAGGTGGAGCCCTATAGCGCACTCCCTTATATACGAATCGACAAATTCGTTAATTAAAAGAACCAATGCACACGTACTCCATTTACTCATCCGTTTTACTGTTTCTATCGGCTTCCAAAAGCGCTGCTTAGGCTTTTAATGTTTACTTCTCGAGTTTCTCGTTAAGTTGCCTGCCACAGCCGATAGAAGAATTGTCCACTACCAGCAGAATTCACCCGCCAAGCGGTGGCTAGGCCAGGTTTCTTTATTCCACCTCTCTTTGACGATGAAACTTAGATTGACCGGACGTACCTATATAAAATGGTAAATGCCTAAGTGGTACGCCTAAGTGGCATGATCAAGCAATTTTTTCCTTTACGTTGTCCAATTAGAAAATACATATACAAACCTTTCACTTTCCGCGTACCATGCGTAACACGCTTTGTTCTAGCTATTTACATGCCGCTTACTTGACATATACCGGTTACAAATCTTTACAACAACTTTAACCCGCGAAGTCTCGTTCACTTGACCGTTGAAGCAATTAATGAGCTGTCTCTGCTAAGGTATAACGCTGACATTGTGGTTGTAAATAGCTTTATGAATCAACGTACCTCCGTCCATGGTTCACAATATGCACTGTTAGTCCACTTCAAGGCCTCAACGTAGGTTAAGTAATTTTCCTAATTCCAGAAGCATACGTGAGTTATCATAACAGTGTCCATATATCAGGAAGATTCTCTAGTCTAAGAGCATGCCTTTGCCAGCAACCACAACCTCTACGCCGAAAATACAGCTCCGTATAATCTTCGCCCTTAGATATGGTATGAAGCCACAAGGAAACGTATTCCCAAATTCGCTTTTGACCCTGTCTTCATGGTTGGTATCACATTAGTTTATGCTTACAAATTCCCATTTAGAGACGTTATTCACTATGGAGCCTACGTTAAACTTGGAGGCTCATCTGGCCTACATGTCCTTTTAAGTGTCCAGTGTTAGCGCGCATCATCGGGTACGTATGTTTTCTAGGGTGTAAATGATAACCATTTACGACATCCAATCGCCCATTGATGTCTCCTTTAACCTAAAACCGACGGTAGGCTAGTTTGACCTTATTAAATGCCGCCATGTGCTGTTCTGCCGCAGGCTATATAAACTTCGCGCAGTAAAAGAATTCCCCGCCAGCAGCAGTAGGCTTTAAAGTTCAGTTTGCCGCCAAGAAGAAGGAATCCAAGAAATCAAACACCGTAGCAATGACTTCTTCAGCCCAGAAGCTTTGCTACATTTATCACCGCCGTTACAAGTGGTAATGATATTTTTGACTGCCTGATTATAGCCGCAGTTGAAAAGACAATTTAATGCATCTGTGCTTAGTCATCTTAGGAAAATATAGTGGCTTGCATAGTACATACAGCATAAATGTTGTTATAATAATTTCTTAATACTTATTGTGTGATGCACTGTTAATGAATCTTACGGTTTCTTTGAATGCATCAATTTAACAAATTTGTGTCTCGGTTTCGAGCTTGAAATTAATTTTTTCGGATCCCTTCGCGTTCCGACTGGCTTGTGCGCTGTCTGCTGTTGTCTACTGTGGCCTCATGTCACAAAAAATTTTTGAGCCGCTAAAGAGACTCCCGCATCAGATCCAGAATTTGCACTTGATTCAGAGGCTTCATGGATTAGCACTTGGTCGTCCAAACGACGTTTTTGGGTCCTATCTAGTAAGTTCATTTCACATCTATTTACTCGTAGTCTTCCGTGTACGGATGTCCTAGATCTCCATGTGCCCTCGCTTATGATGCAAGATTGGGTTTATTGGCTGTCGGTTGGGGTTCCGGTTTACTAAAAGTGTAAGTTTCTTCACGTATAATATATCGACCCCCTAGTTATGGAGCCGCGGGTGTAGTTCTGACTGTCCAATCAGAAGGGGATCCAATATCTCACTTGTGCTTCCTCCCCGAAGAGGTAATCAGAATGTACTACCTAACACTCTTAGGGACGTTTGCTTTCGGCATTTACCACGGGCTGCTTAGCTCTTTACGAACTTGATCCGAAAAATGGCAAATGGGCTGAATGTTGTCGAATTCGCGTGGCATGTTCGTAAGTCGCTGTTTTGATTTTTGTCTCAGAGCGGTGGCATTTTATCTTGCCTATCTCTTTTCTATTCCGTATCTTTTCCTACCTATAACCAAAAGCTAACGGCTAAATCGCTCACTGAGTTTTCTAGCGTTGTGGGAAGTCTCGTGTTGAGGCGCATCATTAAGCCCAGTCCTCGTGCATACTATGGTTCTAGCATAATTTCGACTTTCCGGTGCATCTATTGGTTTCGGAGTTCAGGCGTACGACTCGATTGCCGGTGTACTAACGAAGGACTGCGAAGTCTGCTCGAACGATTTCTTGTGCATCTCCCCAGTAGCTTGGTCTATGTCGTTGGATATTTGACTATGCGAAATACTTTCATTTGTCCGCTTGATCTGCCTTGACATTATCACGTATGGCCACATACTCGAGTGCAAAAGCTCGAGGTACTTTTGCAAATCTCCGCCACCTGTGGCTCAGACGCGACATTACTCTCGCCCTCAAGGGCCGAGTTTACAACGCAGCCGTCCGTTCAACTCTCCTATATGGCTGTGAAACCTGGCCCATCAGGTCGACAGACATGAAGAGACTCGTCACGTTCCATCATCGCTGCCTTCGCAGCTTAGCTCATGTCTGGTGGGAACACCGCATGAGCAATGAGCATGTTCGACGTCGCGTATTTGGTGCAGGAAGAGCGAGTGAACCGCTCAGCACGATTATATCACGCACCAGGCTCCGATGGCTGGGCCACGTGTTGCGCATGCCAGCATGCCAGCCGCGACGTGCATTGTTTGCGCGTTGTGGGTGCGGTTGGAAGAGGAGGTGGGAGGCCAAGTGATGAATTGGTCCATAGAAATGAGAACCCTCACTTCGAAGTTGGCGTCGGTTGGTGCATCCCGACTGTCTGGCTGGGGTCCTAAGGACGGTGAACACGTTTGGTTGGACACACTTGTTGATATGACTTGGAGCCGGCCCCAATGGCGTTTGTGTTGTGAGTTCCTTTGTCCATCTCTTTCCTGTTTAGCATCCCCCTCCAATCACGATCTCAATCGTTAGGCATAATATGATTTTCTTTTACGGCAGCTAGCTGTTAGCTCTCCGAAACGATGTCCATCCGTTACTGGGGACTCAGCGGGCGTGCCACTGTTTGTTTTTCTTTTCTTGCCTTTTGTATTGCTGCACAATAGCTGAGGTATTTTCCACCTCCAGCTAACGTGTAATGATGGTGATGACATACTCGAGTATTTCAACCAATACCATTTCTTTGTCCTTCATTGGATCACTCTTATACCAGAGAGCAGAAGAAAGGAAAAGGCGTCAGTAGTGCGCCGGTACGCAGTACCGACGCTCCGCTGCAGCGCAACCACTACCGGTCGCATGTGGGCTAAAGATACTGCGAGAAGCGCCATGTCCCTACGCAGACTCGCGCCGTCAGATTACAAGACAAGCCCATTACCTTGAAGCTACAAGGCGGAGCGAGCAGAAAGATCCTATGTCAGTTCCATCACTTCCTGTTCGTAGCAGGGATGAGTTGATCATCACGAGACAAAGATCCGCATGGGGCCGTCAAGGTCGCAGTGGAAGTAGCAAGATCTCGACATATTCAGTAAGAATCCCGTCCAACATTGGTTTGAAACACTCGTCCGTTTGTGCGTCAACGACGAGCTCCGGCAAACGGTTCCAGTCATTCACCACATGAGTGGATAGAGCAAGAATGATCCGCATTCGGAGCCTCCTCTGTTTGAATAATTTACATTTGTGACTAGTCAAAGTTCCAACGCTGAGACGCAAGAACTTCTGCAGCTCTCCTCTAGGGATTTGTCGAGCTAAAATTGAATCCCCAAAACGGCGAGGATAATCCAGAGAGAAGAGATTCTTGTTGAAATCGAACGGTTTAGGGCAGGTCACGCAAGTCGAAATTGAGATAGGACTGCCGTTGGACCCTCTCAATCATGTTACTTTCGAACTTGGTAAAAGGATATGAGGCAAGAAAACCGTGTTCAATACTCGGGCGTACATGCTATGTGAACAGGAGTCGGAAGAACACGAGTTAGGCAGTAGAAGCTCCTTCGTATGGCGTGGAACAAACTATAGACGGCGACCCTCTTCAAAGTCTCCTGAGTTGATCTTAGATCGGGAGACATGATTATGCCGTCTCTCCTCAGTGGCATTTTTGTGTAAAGCGCCGCCAATGTGATAGACTCTGGATGCTTCAGCCGCGCCAATAGATAACAAAACAATTGTCTCCGTCAGTAGGCAATCGCCATTGGATTGACCAACATTGCAGAAAGTCAAGCGTCCCTTATAGTTGATCAGCATCCTCTGTGCTGGAGACCAGCCACAGCTTCAGATCATCTGCATATACGAGGCAATACAACTGCAGCACCGACGGCTGGTCCCTTCTTTAGTAGTTTCTTGGTTTGAACCCTCCAGTTTGACACTGGTTTCTTACTCCTTCGGTTTGAACTTGCTCTGCTGTTACCTCTGCAATCTCAGTTACCTTGGATCGCAGTTCCTTATGTGCTGTCTTTGTTTAGTCATTACTTACGCAGATAAAGCTCAGTCAATCCCTTTTACCTCGACGTCCTATTTCTACCCGGCCGGACTAAATTTGTCACTCATGACCATCCGAACGTACCCATATTTCACTGGGCAAACCAAAATCTCTAAATCCCACGGCTCAGGCAAACGGTTATTAAGTTCAAGTTCAAGTGGGACCGGAACAGTAGGAAAATCCTGTGAATGTTCTACCTTCAGAAATGTCCTTGATCCAACAGGGAAACCGGTGCACTGATGTGCCAAAGGAGAGCCAAATCAACACACACGATTCACATGGTCAACCAAACAATGCCCACATGCCCTGCATTAGCAGTCCCCGCTGTGCCGGCCACGCGAATAATAAAACTGTCAGTAAAAAAACAAACAAAAGACAAGCTTATCAAATTTCGTAGGCAATATTAAGATGTAAGTTAAAATAAGTTTAAGAAGTGTAGGCCGTAGTAGACGAGTAAACGTTTAAGACATGAGGAGGAAGACTACACTGCAGACCGAGAGGGTCAGGTCGATGCTCGAACTCTTTCACCGTCGGTGCCATAACGATGTCTGCGGGCAGTGCGTTCCAATAAGCTATGACCCTAGGCGATAACCGAAAAGCTGCCCAAATCCCGTCAGACCGGGGTTGGTGCAACTTTAATGGGTGCCCACGAAGGGTTGACGCTCGAGTTAGGCGAAACAGTCCAGTCAAATCAGGACCGATCTGACCCATGAGTATACGATATGTGAGGACCAATTCGCCCCGAAGCCGCTTGTAGTACATGGAAAACATATCCAACTTACGTACCCTCTCTGGGTACGTCAGCTTCTTTAATCCGTGCACCATTTTCGTCCCGGACTGCAGTATTCGTTCAACTGCCATCTTATCACGAACCAGGTATGGAGGACAATCCTGAACGCAGTATTCCAAGTACAGCTTTACAAAAGCCGAAAGTAATCTAACGAACCTTTCGGTGGTCATGATCCCGAATTACCCGCGGATTATCCCCAGCATGTTGAAACCTTTACAAGCAGCTGTCGTCCAATATTCACTGGACTTAAAGTCTGATGACAGCAAAACTCCGAGGTCAGATTAGAGTTGAACTCGCGGTACCTCGTTGCCGCCAAGCAAATAACGCGTCGGCAGGTCACTCGGACCAACGCGTAAAAATGAACGTTTCGCTAAATTAACGGGCAACTGCCTAATGTTCACGGATGAAATCAACGAGACCCTTAGCAATGCTGTCGAGGCTTCTACAGACTAACACAACTTTAAGTTGCGCGGAGGTAATACACAGGTTAACTGCGAGTGCCTCAACATCACCGTCTGACGATCGGAAACTATACGTCTTGGAGCCAGTAAGTGCGGAGTTAACGTACAAAGCAACGCCACCTCCGCGCCTATCTGCGGTGCGGTCACATTTCAGCAGTGCGTAGCCTGGCAGGCACACTTCACTGTCCCTGACGTCGGTGGACAACCACGTTACAGTGAATGTGAGAACATCTGGACGGCAGTCGTCGACAAGGGCGCTAACTTCGCACAGTTTGTTTCGCAGGCTACGCACACTGCTTAAGATCACCTGAAGGGATTTAGCATTGTGAGTCCGGGATCGTGCGCCACCAGAACCGGCTCTGGTAGGGTGAAAGTGCACCGCCGGCTCACTACCCGAAAACCCATCAAACGGAGACCCTTTTCTCCTTCTTCACGGCGGGCTTTAAGCTCACAGCTTCCCGCAATTTCAGCCTATCCACCAAAGGGAGGTTTGGGTGCACAATGACACCAGTTCCCTTGAACTTAAAGACGAAACGCAGAAGTGCTTGGCGCTCCTCCGGAGTGGACAGAAACTCGCAACAAGCGACGACGAGATTTGTCAGCTGGCAACTTACCGAGTCTGGTTAGTTTGCGCACAGTCATGCCGATGAAGCCGGGTGGCAGGAGTTTGGTAACGCATATTCTAAACCACTGAAGGTATTCTAGCATACGGTCTTTTGGGAGAACAGTAAATGACTTAGTGGCGTCTCTGAAAATAACACTGCAGTCGATATACAAGCCTCCGCGACGCGGAGTATTTACCGAACGCTCCGTGGACGTCGGTGGTTTCAGTTTAGCGTCCGTTTTTATTGACTGTAATGTTGTAGATGATTCCAGCTGTAACGACTCCGTAGTAGTAGAATTTGTGGGGAGTGAGGATAGAGCACTCGACGGACCTCTCACGACTGCCTTGAATTTACCGCTTTCTAAACCCTCTCGCTTTCTTTTGACAAGGGCAGAAACCTGCTGCTCTCCCTCGCTAACAGCCGAATCAAACACTATCTGAGGGTTCGTTACTAATAGGGTCATGGCTAACAGGTATACTGACATTTGACGGTGAACAAACAAATGCAGTCTGACGACTTGCCAGTGTCTTCTACTGTCTCCTGAGCGTTCTAGGCCCTTCACAACCCATTCAACTTTCCTGTCTAGTGAGGCAATCAGAGACAGCAAACTTTCCAGAGAAACAGGACTGCTCTTTACTGACGTGTAACGCTCAGTCCTGCGCGCACAACAGTCACTATAACGGTAGAGTAAACTCTCTCTACTGGACAGAAGAGCATACTATATACGATCCAAACCAGTATAGGCCTTATAGAACCAACGGTTACAGATATCGCAGTGCACGCCCCCTGAAGAATCTGTAGCCTCTTCTAGACACCCGGCTTTGCGACACATGATCACAGAGTCGTCGGAAAGAAGACACGGCGAGTTTAAGCAGCGCTTGACAACCATCGCGACCGAGAGGGTTCAGAGAAAGTATTGAATGTAATAGATAAGCAGCAAAGATGTCAACCGGTTTACGGTGACAAGCTATGCAATCGACGAGAGCACCAGTCGGCAAGATCAAGGGTGACACGAGTGCATTGAACTGGACTCACCAAGTCACGAAGCCGAAGTGGACTCCAAGGATATAACAACAGGATGTTTGCGAGAGAGCAGACACCGATACAAGGATAACTGAAGACCCACTGACCACTTCAACCACACGGAGCGAATACCAAGTATCGATTCAAGTAACTCCGCGTTTGACAAATGGAAAACAGCGCACAAGAGGCGAGAGGTAGCTGGATAGCGTCCAGTGGTCAAAATACAGGTAATAATCCAAGACCTCGGTGACAACAACGGCACAAAGATCAAGTTTATTCGCAAGAAATTTCTCCAAAAGCAAGTTTTCAGCGATATTTTTGACGCGATCAGCGACAGGACAGATTCCGATAAAGTGGGCACTTCTTAGCCGTTTTAAATCACACCGAAATACACCAATCAAGCATCCTCCTCAGTGTTGTCAAAAATAGTGTTTCGATACAAGGCACATACAGTAAATCCGCCTTTGCCAAATGAAAAACGGCACACACGATGCAAGCGGTAGCTGGATAGCGTCTAGGACTGCGAAAGGACCAAATCGAGTCGGGACCGTCCGCCAAAGGAATCTGTCTTGATGACAGCGATCAAATAATTGATGGGATAGAGTAAAATTTTTATACTCACTCTCTTTAGAATACGCTTCCAAGCCAAATTTACTGTTGTCTCTCAAAAATTTCCATTTTTCAATCTTTTCGAAAGTGTTTTGAGGTAAAAACCTTAGCAGAAAGGACTGGTTTTTCTAATCGAGAAAACTTTGTACGTCTTACTTCCATGCTTCATCGAGCAATTATGCTATCTAACTGGGTTGTTGCACTGGTAGGATGCGTTTGAAACTGGGAAGTCTGAATGTCTTATTAACTACCTGACTGTGCTGACCATTGCTGTTCAGGATTTTAGGTTTCATATCATGGTTCCGCGGAGTCCGTAGTGGAGGCAAGAGTCCACTTCACAGTTCTTCACCTATGAGCGCGGTGAGCGTTTGCGTTAGCTTGCCGATTGCTCAAATTAAACCACCTGCGTATATTTGGCACTGATTCACACTACATTTCAGATTTCACCCTTCAATGTATGCATAGAAATGTGGTAGTTTACATTTTTCCGGACCTTACTGTAGCCATACTGGTTACGTTGCTAGTCCTAGGGACTCTGTACTGTCCATTTACTCAGCTGCTTGTTGTCATACACATATGGTAGGACACGTTTACAGTGCATTTGAGAAGAGTCTTTCGTTTTTGCTCAGTCGCCGCGCTGGTCAGGGGTAGATTGGCACGCACTAATTTGTCGACCCACCAATGGCATGTACGTCTACTGTATTTACTCATCCACGCATGTCTGGGGGTGTGAACTTTGAATTACGGGCACCGGATGATATTTCGTGGCCACCGGCAACAGTCAAATTTAACCGTTTATGCATTCCACCTTAAGTAGATACACTGTTTAATCGATTGATCGATCGGGCTTATCCGATCGATGTGTTTGCCACATGTCGGGATGCAACACAATTGGCTAGAGACAACATAGCCTACTAGTGCAACCATTCCGTCTTACTCCAGGGTCGATTACAGGAATTGACCAACCACTGGTAGCAAAGGCGAGGCATGAAGGTCCCTACTACCCAGGCACACGCGCATGAGTATCTAAAGCGTCCAGTTTGAATGAAACGAGCATATTGCTCTCAAATGTGTGAATGACAACCGCCCGCACTTCGGGTATCGACCCTTACATGTAGAGACGAACTGTTGAATGCTTTGAAATCCTGTTTCTACGTTAGAAGTGAGTAAAATAGGAAAAAGACAGTGTTTTCTTTCTCATGCGACAGTTTGTAGTGGTTGTTTGCAATGGTTCTCGTGCTTCTAACTGTGATAGATCTTTTTAAGCGACATGCAAACGGTAATCAAATGCTTGCTTATAACTGAATCATATAGGCGTGATTTTTAATCATCACCGATTTCAGCATAGGTAACATGTATTTACTTGCCAAACGTGCTGCGTTGGGATTCCGCGGGTTTTTGGCCTCTCATTCGTCTACTCGGTAACGGAAGCCGCTACAACCTCTAGGGTTGTTATCGGGATTTGATGCGCAGCTGATTTAAAGCAAGCAAAGGGCACTGTGTTTACTATGGTATTCCGTAGGACATGTGAGTCCTACATGTTCCGTCAAGAAGGCCTGCTTCATCAGTCCCTCTTTTTTCCGTCATACTATTGTCAAGTGCGGCTCAGTGGCCGTACCCCTAGTCATCTCAGTCCATCGCGTACTCAGCCAAATAAATCGCGCGCCACCTCGATCCACGAGTATTCACCTCTTGCTCGGCATGCTCCATAGAATGAGGGTCATGTCGCATGATGCGATGAAAAGAGTCCGATCTGAAATCCGCTGCCCTATTGATGGCATCAAGGACGTAGTTGCTCTCTTACTATGTGGTCGGGCTTGCATTTTAGCCGGCACCCTTCTTACTCGATCTTTACTCACTTTGTACGGTGTCCGTTTGTGATATTTTGAGACACCCGGCCTCGGTTAGGTACGTAGCCTCATTGACAGAGTGACAGCTGATCAACTGCCTTGAAAGGTTGATGCGGGCCATCATTCTGACTGGGATCTGGATTTCTTCTCCACGAGTAACTATATACCTCATCTAACAAGAGTTGCGGATCCGATAATCCTCTTGCTCTTGTCATTGGTTTTAAAGAAACCTTCCCCTTATCATCCGTTTTACCTCTTTTTTCTCGCTTCTATCAGGACGGTTAAATTTTGCAACCTGCTCCACCGCATGTAAATCTTTGTATCACTTGTGTTTTAATGAACGGCTGCCTACTACTTATGCACGCAGCACCTCAGATCCATTTTCTATCCACCCCATAATAACGCGTTTCCATTAAATTTTTGCGACTTCGTTCTTTATCACTGTTTATGCTGCGTTTCATCACCTAAGTGGTGAAACCTATGGCCTATCATTACGCTTCCTATCGGTGCTACTACTTCGTATGTATCAACGTATGGCTGGGGATCTGCTTATCAAGTAGTAAATGACACTATCTGTACGTTATTCACAGGTTCTTTTGTATCCTTAAGCACTTTGATATAATCTCATCATCAATCGCACCATATAGCGACAGAGGCGATCCTACTGATAGAAAATAATGGGGTGAGTGGGACGCGGTGTGTAGCCTAAGAACGCTGAGCTCCCGTTCCGAACCATGGTGCACACACCTGAAATCATCGGATGGTTACCAACAACTGGCTTCATGTGAATGACAGCATTATCGAGACAGCCACCTTTCGGCTTTTGCTGTCGCGTCACAATCTACCTTACCCCACAGGTAATCTCGACATCACACGATTCGCACAGGAAACCCGGCTGAGCGGCATCAGTGAGCGTGTCATTGGGGCCGTTGTGTTCAATGTGTAGTAATTTCCGGAAGCACACAATGGGTTATGTGGACCCGCGCACAGAAGGTAAGGCTTAACAAAACGCTTAATATAGTAAGATGCCTTTTACTTTCCTCATTTGAAGCCAACAAATTGCTCCACTGGGCTACCGCTCTAATAGTACGGTGTTTACCGGGTGCTGCTTTCTTTCGATGTTCTATCTTGGGATTTCTCCCTGACTCTCATTGGACTACCTTTTTGTGTGTCACCATCTGACTACCGCGAAATATGGTTTCCTTTACTCATCCGTTTTTGGATAGTCACAACTACTCGATCACTCACTACAAGACCCCATGGTCAACCGCGCCATTCGTCTAACGTGGTGTTGTGGTTGGGCTGTGGGCGATTTCGCATTCACCTTGCTTCTAACTCCCACGTATGATTGGAGATTCATGTTTTTCAGTCCGCTTGACGTCCCGTCTTACTCTCGCTGGATTTTCTATATTTTCCGCTTCGGTGTCTGGATCGTGTTCGCAGCAGTAACTCATTTTAACAGTGTAACGCTTTTGGTGCTATCTCGTCCATTTCCTAATATTTTTAAATTTAAACGATACCCAGCTATACAGATTGCGTTTACTATAAATTTCAGAAGCGAAGAATGCATCACTTCCATGGCTTTGGGTCATGGTATCCTCTATGTGGGCTCTTCGGTCGGCACTGTATACCAGGTGGCTATAAAGAATGGACGCATGTACCTTGGCGACCCCACTCTCACCGCACTCACCAGTTCTGTGGTCGTCGAAAGGTACTGTCGACTTTGATTCTGCTGTCTTTCTTTACAGCTATGTCGGGAGCCTTAATCCTCCTTGTCCTTAACACTCATTTAACTTCACTACGACCACACCGCCCTCCTTGCTCATGATCCTATAAGTTAAGTATAATTGGAGACCCTGCCATCGATCATTGCCTAGTTAATCGTTGCTTGTTTGTATTTATAGCTTACCTGCCGATAAACGGGACACTCTGAGTGCAGCTTCATCCGTCATTGCCCTGGAGATCCAACCCGATGGTTTCCTCCTTCTTATCGCTTACACCGGTGGATGTGTGGCTGTCGCCATTCCTCAGCCAGCACCCGAAATGTGTGATGGTATCGAATCATCACCTGCTAAACATGCACCGACGGCCCCAACTGTTGAGCAAGAGGCCTCAACGCCCGCCACCGAAGAAAACTGCGACGCTCACATTGAAACTGCTCATTCACAAGAACCCACGAACCAGCTTACCAATGGCGTTACGGAGCAAACATCAGAAATAAAGATAACACCACAGGCACAATCTGACGCAGCAGCTTCCGGAGCTCATGTCAAGGAGCGCGCGGAAAGGAGGGCAACGCTAATGATAAAGGAATTAACCCGAAGCCTGAGGCGCACCGACTCTTCAAAGCGTGAAGTAAACCAATAAATTTCCTCCGGTTTGCTTGTTCAACCGTTTGTTTTCTTCATTTTATTGTTGGTTGTTACATTTTTAGCTTGAAACGGAACCTCCAGTTGCCGTGCCTCCTGCGCCTCGTATCAGCCATGTTTTGCTTCGCGATCAACCCGTTGAGTGGGCTACCTGGCGTGTCACCTCGCTGGAGACACAACCAGATGAGATAACAGTTGCGTACGGGGACGGAGCCTTCCAAGTGTGGCCCATCACGGCAGTTGCAGCTGATCAGGAGCTATCCGTGCCTTTGATTGTTTCCAAACGTGAGCCCCCCACGACTCCTTATGGTGAGTATTATATGCAAATGCCCTCTGGTATGCTGCTGTTCGAAACGAACTGCCACGGTTCATTTCTTACATCTATGCGTTAGTGCTTCTGTCCATGTGCTGAAATTAGTAGAGGACGCGTCATGCATCATCAACAACAGTGCATAAGTCATTACAAATGCCGCTTCGCTGCTGTGTAGTAACAATGACCTACGGAACGAGGACTAATAAGAGGAAGAGAAGGGGGCCTAACGTAAAGTTTTAAGGCTCTTAGCAAGCATTCAGAGTCAGTACGCCTACACCTTGTCTACAACATGCCATCACAAGCAGCTGGCTATCTTGTAAGGCGGCATCAGTGAGCCGGTTTCCTTGTGACTTTCACTGACACGCGTCATAACCAGCCATTACCACGCAGACAACTCAGCACCAAACACATGTTAAACAGGCGGTCCGAGTAGGAGACGTCACCAAACACGCCACTAATGTCGACTGCGAGCCATGTCCTGTAACAGCTCAAGCCTAGTACAATGAGGGTCACTAGGTTTCCATCCAGTTAAGCGAGACGCACCAACAGCACCCAGTTTTGCAGTCAATGATTTCATGTTCCGCTACTGAGTTGACTTTTGCCCACCTCGTGCTTTGCACCACCCTACATCTAGTAAACAAATCAAAGTTCTCGGCATACGTAGTACGTGCTCAGTGTCATCTGTTGTTCAAGGAATTGGTTTGATTATCACTATCGCTCGTCTATGCACATCACCGTTGCTGGTACCTTGGTGCCATCCGATACCAGCAGTGCTTCGCAGGCAGTAATGATTAAAAATTTTAAAGAGACCTCAGACCAAAGGGGCCATGTTTCACTCACATAGAGTAGGACTGCCCTCACTGTGGCCTTGTGAACACGACCTTTCAGACCTAGGAATACCCCTTTCTGCCACCACAGATGTTGCATATTCAAGAAGACAGTTCTAGCTTATGCAATACATGAACTGACTTCAGTTATTATGCGCTCATTGTTGCTGATGCAGCTACCAAGGTAAGTCAAGTGATCGACTACGTCGAGTTCCTCGCTATCAAGGGTCAGAGGGTCATCAAGTGGCTGGTGGTCCTGCCACAACACTGCACTTTACAGGTGCGATGCGCATGCCAAATGACAGGACCACTCTAGGGAGGTTATTAAGGGTTGATTGGGCCGCCCCGACGTCTAAACAGCAAGACAATGTTTTCCGCCAGGCAGCACCACAACTTTCGCATGGAATACTCCATGATGGAGTCCACAACGAAGTTGAGCAAAAATTGAGAAATTGGATTCTTTTGACTAAAGTCACTTGTCGGTAGGAAATCCGATAATTCACCGTAGACCCTAATGCGGCCTGTGATGTTCGGTATAGGGCACGTCAAATATCCATATCTTTCATAAAAACACCTTTCCACACAAGTATCTCGAACAGTGGAATAAATCAACAGTCGAATACACTCAGTCTCCTAACAATACTTTTTCTCCATACTGCTGTTTCTAATATACTGGTCTTGTTTTGTATATAGAGGTTTTGGATGCTAATACGAGTCCTTCCGTTCCTAACCCTTTGTTGTTAGTCACCCACATTTTCACTTCGTATTTCATATGCGCTTCGCACTTAACCGACTTCCATTCGTCATACGTTTCTCTTCCTCATGCTGCTCGGCTCCAAAAACCTTAGGCCCTACATGGGTGCATTATTCGCTTCGATGTTAGCAATTTTCTAAAGTGTCAAGTTTTAAAATTTCATCCGCTTGCATTAAACTACCGAAAGGTATTTACCTTCATCACGTTTTCTGAAATCTATATATCAGTCCACTGCTCGTACTCACTGAACTTGTTATTTGACCCAAGTCCACATGTTCATTGTGCTACCTACCACGATATACGGGATTGTAGCTCAGGCATCCGATTTACAACCTCTATGCCCAAATTCCATTCCCCGTTTACATATGATACCTCCATCTCTATCCCAACCCGCTCGCAGCGAAACATCAGCACAGGGTATTGGCAAACTACTGGTGCATTTTTATTACCACAAAGATGTGAATCTTGTAGTTTACTATTTGTCTTAAGCTGAACAGTCGGCGCACGTAGCTTTAGTTCTTGTTGTGGTCTTCGAGTACCACAGAATTCAATTTGCCCCATCGCTTACCGTTGAATGTTCGGCCACTACGAACATCCGCATCTTCCGCATTTTCCGTTTAGTCCGCACTCACATGTTTTCATCTGTTTGGCGGATGTGATTCGCCACTGAATCAAGTCACAGCCCACAACTACACACATGCAAGTTTACCATAGCCACATTTCGCTATTATTAGTACGCACACTACAAAATAATTCCGTCTGTACATTCCGTCACCACATCAATTTTTAATCCTTTATAATTGATCTCTACATTATACACATGAATCCAGCCTATCGTCACTTCACAAATGATTTCATCCTCAACGGTACTATTTTCATTTCTGCAAACTATACTTTTCAGTCATCTTCCCATTACACGTAATGCAACGTGCCTGTTGCGACATACCTGCCTGTAAAATTTTGATCACATTTTATCTGGTGTGCCTCGATGCATTCGCCAATAAAGTATTTATTTATGTATTCATCTAGGACCTTTGCCATGTGGATCCATCAAAAAAATCCTGCAAAGCCCCGGATTCACGTAAGCACTTGCTTCTGACTTCCACTATTTCTTGCGCCAAGTCTATCGATACCTTCATCTTCTGAGACCCTAACTCAGCCACCAATACATTATCCTCGGCCATAAGCGTGACTCACAGTTAACCTATTTCCATGTCGTTTTTGGGCCTCTTCACACTTTTTTCCGTACTCAAAGCTAGGAACTTTGGTATTTTCCGGTAATGTTGAGGTGCGCAACTGCCTTTGTCAGTAGGATCCTTGTTTATGGTTCCGGTCTTTAGCCACTTATTTCGCTTCCATCAACACCCCAGTGGTACTTTCCAATCGCCTGTGACTCAACTTTAGCGTGTCGTGGAAGAATTGAAAATCGGGGCATCATATGCACCTTAGTCTATCTGGTTTAAAATGAAACTCTTGAATCAGCTAGAGGTGACATGCACGACATCGTAATGAGTTGCGATGTACATATGAGTCACTAAGAACAATTTGCTGTCTTTTACAAGTGCTGGATGCCTTTGCGTTGTCCTCATGATGGGGTCGAACTTTTACACTCCACTCGTTCCTAGCTCAACAAATGACAACAGCAGCACATCAACCATTTGAACTGGTGCTTCGCTGCCATACAACCATGAGAACCTACGAAATAAAGAAGAATAAGAGAGAGAGAGAGAGAAGGGGGACTTACCTGAAAACCTTAATGCCCTAAGCAAACATTCAGGGTCAAAGCGCCTCCACCTTGTGTAGACAACATACCGTCACAAACAGCTGGCTACCATGCAAAGATAAGGCGGCATCGGCAAGACAGCCTCCTTGCGGCTTTCACTGCCACGCATCATAATCAGCCATTACCCCGCAGATAACTCAGCACCAAACACACTTTAAACAGGCGATCCGACTAGGAGACGGCAGCAGACGCGCCACTGGTGTCGACTGCGAGCAATGTCCTCTAAAGTCTCGGGCCAAGCACAAGACGAATCACGTGGACTCCAATCCAGAAGGCGAGACGGACCAACGGCACCCAGCTTGGTCGTCAGTGACTTCCTTTCCCGCTGCCAAGTCAACTTCTGTCTACGTCGAACCTTGCGTCACCCTATACCTGGTAGACTGAACAAGGCCCTCCTGGGTAAGCGGTGATCAGGCATACGTAGTACGTGCCCAAGGCAACGCAACTTATTCAGTGCTATCTATTGTTCTAGGAAACTAGCTCGGTTATCACTGCTTAATACTCGCCATCGCACATCATCGTTGCAGACACGCTGCTGCCACCCGACACTAGCAGTGCGCTTACTGGTCCATCTGTATTTCAAAGTCTGCCAACTCCCGCTTCAACGACCAGCTGAGGAAGCAACACTCACAGGATCATCCTATCGTTCTAGTCCCACTTGAACTTGAACTTACCAGAAAGCTAACCAGGGCTTCCTACTTTTTCGACTTTTGAGTTGCGCAACTCAAAAGACAGCGCTCTCTTTGCTACTGCTAACTCGAAACCAATTGCACCATGACTATACCTGGTCCGAAGGCATTTTATCCCCCATGAGTTCGTTCTTTGCAGTATTCTTCCTACATCTGAATATTTTGTCTTTGTTCGTTCCATTTACCGAACAACCACGGCTTTCGATTTTAACAATGTGACGAGCCCGGTTGGGGTACCGCAATCAAGGAGGGAATACCTTGTGACAGATGTTTAGTATGGTAACATAGCAATTGCTCTAGACTAGATCAAACCTCTGTTGATCTTTACATCCACCATTCCCAATTAAATTGGATCTGCTTCCATTGTATGTGCTCAGTTGACACTTGTGCTCGTTTAATACTTGGTCGATTTTCTGTTCCAACTCTTGAACTTTGATGTGCAAAGTGTTGCTGACACGAAGTATCTTCACCATTGCAACAAAATTGATATGTGGTCAGCGTTCGCTCATGAAAGCAGTGCGTGCGGAAGTAGACATATTGCCTTCCGAGCAATAGTTCTAGTAGATGCAGAAGTAGATCCGATGTGCTGAAAGTACGGAATACATAATTCCAAGTTATCACACAATGAATAGTAACACCCAGTGGGTCGAAATCGAACTTAATGAGAACGAGAGAATTGCGCGTCACAGGAAGATGTGTATCAGTCCCACGCTGATCAAAAACTGTACAAGCATATGATCAAGAAATATATGGCGACAATAAAAGAATGTTAATAAATATGCAAAATAGTTACCAGCGATGTTCTATGGGACCCAATCATCTACGATGAATGGGCATCCTCCACGACGCCCAACTGAACCCGAACCCAAGCATTTGGCGGTCCTGGACCATGTTTAGCAGGAAAGCTAGGGAGAGGGTTCGATCGCCAGTCTGTAGTCAACTGGGCGATTGGAGTAGCTGGGGCCTCGCGATAGATGGTCCAAGGGTAAAGGCTAGAAGGGCGATGTCGGGCAAAGAATGATCGCAAACCGAGGTCTGGTGCATAAATGTGGATAGAGAAATCGGGCACAAAACTGGACGGAAATAGACAACAGGAAGTGTTATACAAAGTAGGATGGGGCCCTACCTTAAATAGAAAATGCACCAAAATGTGCCTTTAGCTCATCAAAGGCTGTAGCTGTCAGAGAAAACAAAGCGTTTGAAGCGGTGCTTCGGTCGATCTAGCTTTGAGACCCGAACACACGATCCGATGGGTAGGACTGCTAGCTGGGAATGACAAGTAACAAAAGTGTCTGGGGGTGAAGGAAATAATATATTTATGAGTGGGATTCACGGTTAGGACAGCGCATGATGTGTCTTCAGAGGATGCGACGACTGTCTGCACCTCAAGATCATCGACGGATTGGCACTCAGCGACACAAAACAAGGGTGGGGTACAATGAACCACCCTGTCCCAAATAAGAACTTCTTGCGTGGCGACGCACAGGATCGAAGGTGCGGTGGATTGCACTGCTACGGCCGTTTCAAATCCGTCTATTGGCGGCAGTTGTTGCTCTGAATGTACAACTGTTTGCTGTTTCAACGGGCCTATAAGCCGCGGCTTCTGTTAAGGGACAGCGGAGTCCGAGACATAAATGTGATTCGCACAGACGAGCCATGTTGCGACAGCGCAGGTTGCGGTGGGGAGTGCGAAGGATGGAAGACAGCTGCGGTATCTGGATGTTTCGACGGCCTCGGTAAACTGCCTTGCGTGAAGAAAGATCTGATAAAGACGCTCGTATAAGGAATTGACCGACGATGATGGTGATATTCCAGAGTACCTGGTCATCTTCTGAATTGGGGTATCCAAGTGTGAACACAAGTACCAGAGTTTCCTGGTGAGAGGGAGTAAATCAAGTGTAACATCCACTATGCGCCTCTAAGTGGATAAATCTCCGCCAAAGCAGAGGACTTGTGGGGCCTATGGGTCGAAATTCTCCGCGTCGTGAGAATCGTGCACCTCTGTCGCCATTTATGCAACGTGCAATGGTCCTAGTAGAAGCAGAAGTAGATCTGATGTGCTGGAACTAAGGAATACACAATTCGAAGGTATCACACAACGAATAGCAAAACCCAGTGGGTCGAAATCGAACTTAGTGAGAACGAGAGAAGTGCATGTCACAGGACGATGTGTATCGGTCCCACGTGGGTCAAAAGGTTTGCAGGCATATACACAAGAAATTTATGGCGATAATAAGAGAATGTTAACAAGTGGCTAAAATAGTTACCTGCGATGTTCTATGGGATCCAATCATCTACAATGTTAGTAGGACTGAGGGATAATTTGGGGATTTCTCTACAAACTGATGGCAGAGCATTTTTGCTTATAAAACACCAGTATAATCTTTGGGTTGCTCCATTTATTTTGAATAAAGCGAACATTCAGATGGTATCCTGCTTACGGGTGAGGTGTAGATTAGAGCTTTTGCCGTCTGCTGCAGCCCATCCTCCACACGAGAGGAGGATCAAGAGCTTGGTACACTATTGAGGCGCGCCGTGGCTGCTGCGCCTAATTTCCTAATTGTTGATGATCTGAACCTTCCTCATGCTAATTGGCAGTGCACGGTAAACTCGGCTGACACCTGGAGCAGAAACTGTTGGTGTGGATACATGAGAATGCAATTAAACAGTACTTCAATGTACCGACCATGAGTCGTATCGGAGTCTCCCCTCCGTCTCAACGGGACGACCTTAACGTGGTGCGACGGTTTGCGTACCACATTGACCCATTGAGCTATACTGGGTGGTGCCTCCGGGCACCTTGAGAGCTACTCCTACCAGGTTGGTTAATGGTGAGAGGTCAGACAAACTCAGTCTCCTAGTCCTCCAGTTTGGGGGTTTGAAATGGGATGACGTCCATTTCTGTGAAACTAAATCTTTGCCACCTCCCCGTTGCCTTGCGGACAGGCTTTTGAACCAAAGGCTTTGGATGAGGACACTAATCGTCCTCCTGTCTAGGTCTGGGCACCCTGGCAATATCTCAACCCACATACAACCATGGCTTCATCCTGCATCGGCCGTCGCGCCGATTATCAAGGGTCGCCTTATCTGCTGCATACAGCAGGGCGGATAAGCGAAAACATGCTACTGCTGGCGTCTCCTTTCTTTTCCACCTTTTTCTCTTACTCCCATCCAGACTCCCATTACTAATTTTCCTTCTATAGTTCCCAGCTTAATTGACAGCAACCGAAGTGCCACTGGAGTAGAACCATCTGCAGCCACCATCCCACCGTACCTATCGGACGCCTATCGGCAACAGTCCCTGATAAGGCCACGCTGTCCCGTTTCCATAGCGACGTTAAATTTTCGCACTCTAAGACAAACAGGTCAATAGGCTGCACTCACACGTACCTTGTACACATTGGATATTGGTGTGTGTTTTGTCCGAAACTAGGATCAATGACCCTAACGGAGTTATTGAATTAACTGCACCCGGCTTATCCTCTCGTTATTGGTCGCACGCATCCAGAGACGCGGGTCAAGCTGGTGTAGGTATCATTCTAAGCTCCAAGGCTGAGCCATCGTTGGTTGATTGGATTCCGGTGAACAAGCGTTTATGTGCAGCCCGTTTGACGACATCCGCTAAGGTTGATTCACGAAGTAATACAAAATTCTGTTTGTTTGTGATTTCCGTTTATGTTCCCACCGACTGCAGTCCTAATGCTGTCAAGGACACATTCTACCACGAATTGAATGCGCTATTACGCAGTGCTACTAGTTCAGATATTATAGTACTTCCAGGGGAGATGAACGCACAATTAGGGCGTCTGAGCCCTTCAGAAGCTCAGCTGGGTGGTAATTATGGGATTAACTCCGAACGGACTGACAACGGTGAGCGTCTGCTGGAACTGTGTGCGGAGCACCACTTGTTTCTTAGTAGCACTGCTTCCAGACACAGTGGGCGCCTAAGTTCCACTTGGCGTCCTCCTGTAGCTGGCCGGCGATGGACCCAAATTGACCACATGGCCATAAGTTACAGGTGGCATGGTTCCATTCTGGATTGCCGCTCGTACTGGAGTACCTGTGTCGACTCTGATCATGCCTTGGTACGCTGTCGTTTCTCCATGAATTTTGCCGAGAGGCGTACCAAGCGTCTCCTCCAATTGGCAACTGAGAAATTGCCTTAGCCCTGGGTCAGGCAAGCCTATCAAGACGCACTGCGTACCGAACTTTCGCTGTCTTGTCCTAATGACACTGAACTTCAGTGGAATAGGATCTCGGCCGCTATGCACGACACAGAAGCATCTGCTTGTAGCACTATCAATCGTCACCGCACCAGTCACTGGATATCCGAGAGGTCGGTGAACCTGTTGGAATCTAGAAGAAACCTCCCGGCTGGCTCTGAGCACAGTGTGACCAGACGGGCTATTAGGCGTGAACTAAAGCAGAGCCTACGTGCTGACTAGGAAGCCTGGTGGACCAGTCGGGCTCAAGAAATGGAGGAGGCAGGAGCAGTAGGCAAATACCGCAAGCTCTTCCAGTTAGTCCGCACCACTGGTCCCAGCAAATCAGGCGTCAATGAGACAATCAGAGGCAGCGCAGGTGCACTGATACACAATAAGGAGCGCCGTATGGCTCGTTGGGCGGAACACTTTCAAGATCAGTTCAGCTAGTCCGTTGCTCCCGGACCTCTACCTACTCATGTGATGCACGACGATCCATGGACGGTTAGTTTAGAGCCTCCGTCGGAGGCCGAGGTCCAAAACGCGACCACAACCCTCAATCGTTTTCGTGCGGCTGGTCCGGATTCCCTCTCACCTGCACTATTTAAGGATGGAGACGAGGTCCTTTGCAAAGCGCTGACCTCCCTATTCGAACCTATCTGGACGGAAGTGTCCCGGTTAATTGGAGCGGATCGATTATACTGGCAATATACGAAAAGGGCTGTCGCACAGACTATTCTAACCACAGGTGTATTAGCCTAACGCCAGTTGTGAAAACATTAATGGCCTCGATTATCGTTCCTCGCCTCAGTGCGGAATGGGAATCTCAGATTAGGGAAGAACAGGCAGGTTTCCGCCCAGGACGTGGCTGTATAAACCATATATTCACTTTGCGGCAGGTGCTAGAGCAGCGCCACGCATACCGCAGACCGACAATAGCTGTGTTCCTCGATTTCAAGAGTGCGTTCGATTCGGTCGATCGATCGATTCTGTTCGAAATACTTGCGCGAAAAGGTGTTCCCACGAAATATGTGAACATCCTTCGTGCTCTATACTCGAACACTACAGGCCGGGTCAGGGTCTACGGTGTCCTATCGAATAGCTTTTCGACTACAAGTGGCGCTCGTCAGGGTTGACCGATTTCCCCATTTTTGTTCAATTTCGTCGTGCATTTTATCATAGAGCGTTCCCTTGGGGAATCTCACGATGTAGGCGTTGAGGTGATGCTTGGTGAAAGATTATTTGATCTAGATTATGCGGACGATATCGTCTTGCTTTTCGACGATGCTGCCGCGGCAGAATCAACCCTGAATAGCCTGTCTAGAATGGTCCCATTATTTGGTATGCACTTCGCACCTTCAAAGTGCAAAGTGTTGCTGCAGGACCACCAGCCACTTGATGACCCCTTGGCGCTTGCTAACGAGGAACTCGAGGTGGTTGATCATTTCACTTATCTTGGAAGCTGCATCAGCAACGATGGGCGCATAGTAACTGACGTGAGCTCACGCATTGCAAAGGTCAGAGCTGCCTGCTTGAACCTGCGGCATCTTTGGCGACAGAATGGAGTTTCCCTCCGTCCGAAAGGCCGTGTATACAAGGCCACAGTGAGGGCCGTTCTGCTCTATGGTAGTGACACTTGGCCCCTTCGGTCTGAAGATCTGAGGCGCCTTCAAGTCTTTGATCATCGTTGTTTGCGAAGCATTGCTGGTGTCGGATGGCACCAGCGTGTCCGCAACGATGATGTACGTAGGCGAGTACTAAGTAGTGATAATCATGCTAGCTCCCTAGAACAACAGATAGCACTGAATAAGTTGCGTTGCCTTGGGCACGTACTACGTATGCCTGCTCACCGTTTACCTGGGAGGGCCTTGTTTAGTCTGCCAGGTGTAGGGTTGCGCAAGGCTCGAGGTGGACAGAAGTTGACTTGGCAGCGGGAAATGAAGTCACTGACGACCAAACTGGGTGCCGTTGGTCCGTCTCGCCTGGGTTGGAGTCCACGTGACCCGTCTTGTGCTTGGCCCGAGACTTTAGAGGACATTACTCGCAGTCGACACCAGTGGCGCGTCTGCTGCCGTCTCCTAGTCGGATCGCCTGTTTAAAGTGTGTTTGGTGCTGAGTTATCTGCGGGGTAATGGCTGATTATGATACGTGGCAGTGAAAGCCGCAAGGAAGCTGTCTTGCCGATGCCGCCTTATCTTTGCATGGTAGCCAGCTGTTTGTGACGGTATGTTGTCTACACAAGATGGAGGCGCCTTGACCCTGAATGTTTGCTTAGGGCATTAAGGTTTTCAGGTAAGTCCCCCTTCTCTCCCTTATTATTCTTCATTCCATAGGTCAGTATAGTTGTATGGCAGCGAAGCACAAGTTCAAATGGCTGACATACTGCTGTTGATGACTGGCAATGCTCCGCAGACAATGCTGATAAAATACTTGAAGATGCCTCAGGTCTTCAGACCGAAGGGGCCAAGTCTCACTACCATAGAGCAGGACTACCCTCACTGCGGCTTTGTATACACAGCCTTTCAGACGAAGGAAAATTCCCTTCTGTCGCAAAAGTGCCACAGGTTCAGTGAGACAGTTCTGGCTTTTGCCATTCGTGAACTGACTTCAGTTTCTCTGCACTCATCGTTGCTGATGCAGCTGCCAAGGTGAGCGAATCCATCAACTACCTCGAGTTCTTCCTTATCAAGAGTCAAGGGGTCATCAAGTGGCTGCTTGTCTTACAGCAACACTTTGCATTTTGGAGGTGTGAAGTGCATACCAAATGATGGAACCACTCTGGACAGGCTATTCATGGTTGATTGGACCGCTGTGGAGTGCCTACACCGTTTTTCCTTTTCCTTCCCAGCTTGATCCCACAAGTTGCTGGCAGCATGGCTGCATGGCTTTATTTTGTTTTTGATCCCCTACGTGCTTTCCCTAAATTTTCCTCCTGAGTTGCACAGGATCCGTGGTGAAGTGTTTCAGGCACATGACTCGCAGCATCTACTCCCCGGTTTCGAGTCCCCCTTTGCACCAACCACTTGCAGTCGCGTAACAGCGAAACATCAGTGCGGATTAATGGTGCACTGCCGACGGCATAACTTTTTTGTCCTTTCCTCGTCTAGCATTTTTATGTGTTCGCTTTATCATGTCTTTTAAGACTGCTCAAATGAATCACGAAGCTTCTCAGTCGTAACATTGCGACCTTATTTCATAACTGGCCACTAAGTAGCTCTTGTGTTGATTAAAGGCATATGCAGAATGCCCTTATGCAGTATCGGCATTTCGCTACCATGCGGCCATCACCAGTCGCGTGTGAGCTATGAATACTGTATCTGTCTGCGTCTACGCAGACTCGGACCGACGACCTTTAAGTTACAAGACAGATACTTGAATCACTCGGCCACGACGGATCGGCTGCTTGTTGGTATTAGTCAACGAGCGATTCGGGATAGTTGCATAGCTGGAAAGCGTCGGGGCGGCGTACTGTTGATGTCTCTTGTATTCAGACTTGAGTCCTTCTCATTAGGCAGTGGCTAGTTATCTTACTTACTGCTCTTGTATCTACCTATTGCTGTACTCTTTGGGTTCTCGCTTGGTTTGATCGCTTTTACCCATGCAGTCATCATTTTATCGGAAACCGAACATTCGCTGTGGGGCTTTGACCATCTGTTCTGCATTTCTTCACGTTGATCAAGCTTAATGCTGTTTTCCTTTCTAGTGGTGGTATTCTCACCGCATTCTCTGGTGGTTTGCCCCGCGCCGAGTTCAATGACCGACATGCAGTCACTGTTTTACAAGATCAAGAGCACCACGTATGCTTTCAGTTCGGCTCTGAAGTCAAGGATTTCATCTTCATTCCAGACAAATGCGCTGCGACTTGTAAGTTTCGCCTCGTTACATTTCGCATCCATTCATTGCTTTTAAGACGTAAACTAGTGACTTACGGTGTTACCTTCGATTCATTCTTCTCGGTAACTGCTTCGCACGTTTTTATGCACACTGTAGCTTATTTTCTACGTCGAATTCTGCCTTTTTCTATGAACTTTTCTCCCGGTGATGCACTCGATTGCGTGTTGTCTTGTACGACATTTGAAGTAACCGCAGTTTCCATTGCGGGTCTCAGCTCTCGGGTTCATTCAGTTTGCTAGCCAGTCCCATCGAGGTGTCATTCCTCACTTCATTATGGGCGTAAGGGAAGGGGTTCTGCAGGTATGAAATTCTGGCAAGTTCGCCACCGACTCTCTGGGCTGTCCCACCCGTCGTAAAATTATTTCAAGACCCTTGATTCATCATCGGACGACTTTACTCTGTATTCACTTTCTTGATCCTGCCGCAGTACTATGCGATCTCGCTGTTACCATTCATACCTGTTGCTGACTTCATTGTTCCTGGCTGGACTGAAACATGATATACCTTATGGTCTGTTCGCACTTCCAAATCATTGAGCTATATTGCTTAGGTACTTTAGTACCTTGGAAGTCACACCTACCAGATTGATCAACATTTAGAGGTCAATCGAACTTATCCTTCAGGTCGCAACTTGGCGTATGGGTGGTGCATTTTCCGCTTAATTAGACCATTTTACAGACTTGTAGATCAGGTTGTTCAAGTGGCGGTCAAACTTTTCGCTGAGCTTGGCGATTTTGTCGTAAACGTTTCATCAATAGTCAAAGTGACAATACATACTTTACCTTCAAACCATTTTTTGATGCTCTGGTCGTCGCAGAGGATACTCAACGGCGCCCTATTTGCTGCATCTAGCAGGATAGATAAGGGGTTTTGAATGCTACTGCTCAAGCCTTTCCGTCTTCGTAATCCCTCATGCATTTTTTCATCCCTGTCGTTCCTTTTCAACTTAAGTTTTATCTCTCCTCCCCGTTTTCGACCCCCAATTCTTGGCCCTCTCCCACGCGGAGCGTCCCTCCTGCTCTGTCGACAAGCCCATTTCCAACCTAGCGGTCAAGCCTAGTTCATCCGCTTCTATTTGGAGCCCTCGATCCTCAGCTTGGTACATTATTACAAATCGACCAGCAGGCATCACTTGCTCGCATATTAGAGACCCTCTCGTCAATATCCGCTGCTTATCGGAAACCTGCTTGCAACACTCGAGCTCTTTGCTCCCTTTGCGATCCCCTTCAGGTGCCACTAGCAGTGCCTACTCATAGCATCTACCCGGACACGATGCAGCCTGGAGTGCCGTCCAAGCCGGTGTTGGTATTGCCTTGAGTCCGCAGGCCGAATCTGCTCTGGTTGATTGGATCCCAATCAGTGTGAGCAGCGTGTACATAACATTCAAGTCTTAGAGCCTCTGGGAGCGAGTGACCACTCAGTGATCATAGGCAGTTTAGAACTACCGCTACCGTATCCTCTCCCACTAGAGTCAGCCTTCAACTATTGGAAGGCGGACTTTAATGGCGTCATTCGAGCAGCGAGCCAGATAGACTGGTCTTTACCACAGGATTCATCTATTGAAACCTGTTGGGCTATCATTAAAGAGGGAGTGAAATCGTTGTGCGCCCGATTTGTGCCCCTCAAATTTCGGAAAGTTGGGCCAGTCAAACCACATTGGTTTGACAAAGAGTACAACAAAATGGCCCGACGGCGACGTAGACTATGGAACAAATTCGTGTTATCTGGCTCTGATGAGGACTACAGTGCCTACAAGGTACAACGAAATCGCTGCAACAAGGCGAAAAAGAGCAAACGCAGAAGCTTCGAAGAGGAGCTTGCAACTGCCGCAAAAACTGCTCCCAAGAGGATCTTCGCATATGTGAAGCGGCGCCTAAGACCTATAGCTAGTATTCCAGTGTTAGAAGGCTCAGAAGGACAGCCTCTAACCTCGAGTACTGATCGTGCGTCAGCATTGGCAACGCACTTCGCCTCCGTATTCGCAAGTGACCAGGTGTCTGTAATGAGTTCGACGAGCACCGCTCCAGCCGAACTTAACAGCCTGGACTGCAATATTGAGGATGTACGCAAGATTCTAGCAAATCTTGACGGGACGAAACCTGCTGGGCCAGATGGTATACACCCTCTAATCCTCAAGTCATTATCGACCATAATTGCACCTTCTGTAACTGAACTGTTTAACAGGTCACTATCCACTGGTATACTACCGGACGACTGGAAATGCTCAGTCGTAAAGCCTATCCCGAAAGGTGGTAACCCAAGCAAAGTGGATAACTACCGGCCGATCTGCCTGACGGCAGTTTTGGCAGACGCTCGAGAAGATCGTGAAGAAGAGCCTTCTGCAACTTCTCGAGTCGAAAAACCTGTTAACCTCCGCACAGCATGGTTTCCTGAAAGGTCGTTCGTGCATCACCAACCTACTGTTGACGAGGCACGAATGGTTACAAGCACTGAACAAAGGCCAATCGGTTGACGTCATTTACATTGACTTCAGTAAGGCTTTTGACAAGGTTAACCATGCAGTGCTCCTTGACAGACTGAAAATGTGCGGTGTTGGTGGTTCGCTGCACAAATGGATCAGCAATTTCCTTATTGATCGGAAGTGGAGAGTCCAGGTGGACAACCATCTAACAGACTGGTATCCATCGAGCAGCGGCGTGCCCCAAGGCACTGTACTGGGCCCGATATTGTTTCTAATCCATATAAACGATGTGCCTCAGCTACTACAATCACATTGTGCTTTGTTCGCAGATGACTTGAAAGTGTGGAGAGTAATCCGCACACTCAATGATTGCGATTTACTTCAGCAGGATCTCGACCGCCTCTCAACATGGTCTGCAGAGGTTAACCTTCCGATCAACCCTGCCAAGTCGCAATTCATGAGGTTGGGTAAGTGTGATCACGGCCGAACGTACACAGTGGCTGGACAACCGTTACATCCCGCTCCTTTCGTGCGCGACCTCGTTGTACTCTCACGCTGCGACCTAAAGTCCATTGACAACACGAATAGGCTGTACCAAAACAGCCTTCGTATGCTTTGGGCTCTCAGGCGCAGCTTTAGCACTTGGTCCGAAGAGATTGCCACTCGCCTCTTCGTCTCGATAATACGACCAATGCTAGAGTACGGCACTCCCGCATACTGTCCCATCACCCGGGGCGAAGTAGAAAAGCTTGAGCGGGTGCAGCCTGTAGCCACTAGGCTGATTCCCAACTTACGAGGTATGCCATACGAAGACCGATGTAAGAAACTAGGGTTATACACCCTATCTTATCGTCGGCTGAGGGTTGACCTCATCATGACGCACCGGATATTACATCTGGGTGATTACCCCATGTTGAGACAACTACTTCATCTGCGCACACCAAGCTGCACGCGAGGACACCGGTATAAACTTATCGTCCCGGATTTGAAGCGGGTCGCCCATCAACTCTGTTTCGAACGAAGAGTGGTGAATGTCTGGAACGACCTGCCTCAGCATATAGTAGAAGCGAACACAGTGGCTAAATTCAAGATGCTACTAGACAAACAATTTGCAGAGGCAAAGTACAGAGAGCGAAACGATAAATAGAAAGTTCATGTCCGAAAACGACGAAAGATGCAGCTACACAGATCAAACTCTACTCGCTGCTTCGCACCAGTTCTCAGTTCTCAGTAGCCGGATGTGTGCGGTCCGACTGGCTGGCTCGTTCGAAGCTTAGAAGCGTGCGGTACTAACGAGTGTCTTTTTGTTGTCACTGTCTACGCCAACACAACCTGTAGCGACGACTCTGTAAAAGACATCTATCATCAACTGAGCGAGTTCCTTCGTCGCAGAAGAAGCACGAACACTGTAGTGCGGGCTGGGGATCTGAACGCTCAAATTGGAAAATTGTCCACTGGTAAGCTACATCTGGGTGGCTAACACGGTGTAGGCCCTCGTAATGGTAGGCGTGAGCGATCACTTCCTTTGTGTGAAGATGCGAGCACTAACTTCCGACATGGCGCGCATCAGCATCGGATGTGCCATGGCCGCCAATCGATCATATTGCGATCATTTACCGCTGGAGAGGCTGCGTCCAAAACTGTCGCTCGATTTGGAGCACATGTGTGGACACAGACCATGCGTTTGTATGTGCTGATCTGCCGGTGCGTTTTGGTGGACGCGCGCGATGACTGGGCGCATAGAATGTGTATCATGGTACCCTGGCATTCGGGTTGAGCAAGCACTCACTGAATACACTTGTAGGTCACTGGTCGCGTGTTCACCAGACCTTACTAACAGCAAGCATGTCTTCATATGGCAAATCATATTGCCGAACAAGACCTTGGGTCTCTACACAGTCTCTGGATCTTATTGATGCTTGCCGTCACATTCCGGCTGAAAACGAACACAGTGGGACTCATAAAGACCTGAGAGCAAAACTGCGTGCTGACCTGAAGAGAGACCGCGAATCCTTGTGTTCTCATCCTGACTCAGAGCTGGATGTGACCGCCGCCATTGGTAACCATCGTAAGTTATTCCGTCTGATACAGGAAACGGGCAGCAGGAGACCTGGTGCTAATGAAACTATATGTGACCAGAGTGGATAGCTAATCCACAACTTCTCAAATTGCTTGCAGCATTGGACTGAGCACTTCGAAAGGCAATTTCATCGGCCGGAATTGTTATCTTTCTCCCCGTCCAAGTGCTTACCCGGCTCCCTAGGTTGTCCACCCTCTCGCTTAGAACTTGGGCCTCCGGCATTAGTGTATCCATGGTTCTCACCATTTAAGGTGTCGGAATCGCCCTCATCAGTTTTGTGGAAGTCGCCGTTCTTTAGTGAATCTGATTGAACAATTGGTTATTGCGACAACTTTGCGTCTCCATCGGAGTTAACAAAAAACGACCGATATTATGGCGCTTTTTCTTCTACGCTCTGTCGGATGCGGCCCTAAAATCTCCAGAGATTGTCGACAGTCAGCTCTCTTCTCCATTTTGAGTTACCCGAAG